GTAATCTAGCATTTCCAATATTATTGGTGCCACTAGGATAAGTATCATGGTTCATGTCTACCCTTGCTTCCTTTCACCTCTGTCTGCTTCAGCTCTTTAGATCAGCTGATTAAAAAAAAAAAAAAAAAAAAAAAAGGCCTCTGTGAGAAGTGAAAGGGAAGAGGGGGATGAGTTTATCTTTTTTTCATGCTTAGAGTTAATGGAAGGAGTAGAGCCCTAAAGTAGAACTTATCTCTTGTCTTATTATTAATGCCTCCCTTAAACAGTAACATCACAATGTGATACAAATAATACATAAGGATTTGATGATAATCTTTATTTTAAGTATTGCAGCTAAAAAAATATCTTGAACCACTCTTAAATAACTGATTTATATATATAACATTATATATAAATCAATTATTAAGCTTAGTTCAGTGGTGCATTTAGTAAGAATCAAATTTATTACAGTAGTAATGGTCTTTGAGATTAGGTTACTAACAACTGCACCATAAAATAACAACAGTGTTGATCATTATGCAGAACATGTGTGTGTAATACAAAATAAATATATAAAATGTGCACATAAAAATACTTAAAACACACACACACACACACACACACACACACATTTGATCTGTATATTCCTTTTCTTATGTATATAAGAATGCTCAATTTTAAATAGTTTTAAGAGCTTTTTAATACATATAAAAAGATAACAGGCTGTAAATGATAAACAAAAAATACTATTTGCATGTGTATGTATGCTGACTGCAAGAGCCATTGCTATTCTTATGAGGACTATGGCTCAAACTTGTCAGTAATGGTCATACTCATTTAACAAGTTGGCAGCCATCATATATTTGAATATTAGATATAGAAAGGGTGTTTCATTAAGATGGATCAAAGTCAGCAGTAAATAAATTAGTATCAGTGATGAAAATTTATTTATTTCTCTATTGGAGCATGTTATTTAAGTCATGGCAATTATGTGTGAAAAATACTATCACCCAAATGTCTGTCAAAGCTTCAGTGGCACACCTCTGCTCAATGGTCAAAATTTTTGATGACATCTCTGCATAGTTTCTCCTCAATCTCACCAATATGCCTTATTATGTCAACCTTCAGCTGTTGAATTGTTGGCTTGTTGGCATAGACTTTACTTTTGAGATAACCCCAAAGAAGTCTAAAGGTGTCTAGTTGCATGATCGCTGTTTCAAGAGATGATGTGACTTGGGAACTTCTCACTCAATTTCTGTTTGAACGTCCATTTTTTTTAATAAGCTTCGATAACTTTAATACATAATTTGATTTTTAATCTTTCCATAGATGAAATTGCCAAAGACTTAAGTTGTTAAATCTGAAAGAAAAAGAAAAAAATCATTAGACACTTAAACTTAATTCACACTTAAAATCGGTCCAAGTTATTGCAACACCCTTTATATATATATATATATATATATATATATATATATATATATATATGTATATATATAATATGATAGCAACTATATATAATGAGTAATAGCTTGAATTGAGGAATCTGAGAGCTGAGTTTGAATTCCAGTTGAGTTCCTTACATACACCTATGTGCTAATATCATTGGGAAAGGTATGAATCCATTTCTTCTCCCCCAGTTATGGGTAAATAGCAGGACAGACTGCGTTCTATAACTATCAGTGGTGAATGGTCTAAGAGAAAGACAACTCTGAATTCAAAACCTGCGGAGGGTTGTTTGGGGAGCTTTTTGCATACTGTGCACCAGTTCTCTGTATTTGGCTCCCCCAGAAAGTGTGGTTAGTTCTTAGTTGGCTGTTAGAAGAACTAACCTGTGTGACCCTCATACATCGAAAATAATGGGGGACTCCAGTATAATATATATATATATATATATATATATATATATACACATTTGATTTGTATATTCTATATATGAATGCTCAATTCTAAATATTTTTAAGAGGTTTTTAATACATATAAAATGATGCATAAGAAATGCTGTTTTTTTTTTTGTGCGTGTCCTGATTTCAAGTGCCATTGCCATTCCCATGAGAACTATGGACCAAACTTGTTAACAATGGTCATACTTGTTTAACAAGTTGACAGCCACCATTTAATATCTGTGTGTGTATATTAAATATTATTTATACAAAGGTAAGGTGGAAAGAATCTTGTATGATAAAATGTCTGTAGAGAGAATACACATTATAAGGATAAGGTTCAACTAATTGATTGTGAGTGAGGAAGTTGAAGGAGGCAGCATATATATTGACTTATCTGTGAGGTACATGAGTTAAGCTAGTATGGATCCCAAGGGAACAGGATTTTCTTTACTTAGCAAAGTGAGTTTTGAGGAATGCCCCTAGGTCTTCATCATATGCCAAATCCATTCAAGACATAACCAATCATGGATCTCTACAACTTTGTGTCTTTTGTTACTCTAAGTAATTTTTTACCTTTTACCATCTATCTTTGTCCTTGTTCTGCCATCCATTCATACAAATTTGTCAAGTAGGTTACTTGCCTTTTTCCCTCTTGGTGTTTTAAGGGTTTAAGTTGGAATTGCGTGAGTATTTGGCACAACTGAAATTGATTGGTCTTGTGTGATCATTTATTTATTATTTTTTTTTTGTAACTTTTATTCTTATGGAATATACTGAATGAGAAATAAAAAATATATTTTGAGAAATCAATGGATAGCATGTATAAAAAGAAGAGGTTCAGTTGTTCAAACAATATTGGGTATGTTAATGATTGTTCTCAAAATTATAGACAAAAAAGACTAATCATCCTTGCTTATTCACTGAAAATTTAATAATATTTTTTTTCATAGTACTTAGAAATTCTTATTTCATTTCCTTTGAATTAAGTGTCCTGGGTAAGATGATAAACAACATCCATCTGATCAGGAGGTTTTGAGAAGTGTGGAACCACCTCTTAATTTTTGATGTTCTCGGGTCCCCCATACCTGGGGTGGTAGCACCTGTTAGGGTCCCAGCTATGGGCAAATAGTTAACCCACAAACTCTGGTCAAAACATTATGAAAGTGAAAAAATAGGTTTTAATACCAGAAATACTTTGTAAAAAAAAAAAAATTATTACCAACAATGCATTTTTGAAAAACAAATATTACCAGTGATGGAAAATTCTTACCAGAAATAGATTTTTGAAGGAAATAATATTACCAGAAACAGATTTTAGGAAAAAAAATATTACCAACAATAGATTTTGATCTAGTGTGAACAAAACATTACCAAGTGAGTAATTTAAAATTTTTTATGCAAATAAAACCAAAGAAGTTGGATTGTACTAAAAAATATGAGTAATTGAAAAATAGTTCAAATATATATGTATACATACACACCTTTTTTTAAGAAGTGTTTGCATTTATCAAGATAGACAATTTTTTCTTTCAATTCAAGATATTTGATGGAGGTAAAATGCATTTTACCTTTATCATTTTTTTTTTATACACTTTTAATTTTTTATTTTTTTCTTCATGCTTTCATATTTTCTTTGTATTTTTAATTTTTTTTTTTCAGTCAGATTATTTTTTATAATTATCTAGAATTCTTTAATTCTCTCAATAAATATATCCCACTTACTTTCTTTAGGTATGAAATAATTTTTCAAGGCATTTAGACTTGAATAAATGAAATCATCAGTAAAAAAATCATGAAAACTCATAAATTTATAATCCAGAGATAAGAAATCTCACTGAGTAAAAGTTTATTGTTATAATAATGATACATTGATGTAATAGTTATTGTGAACCTTATAATCTTGTTGATGACTTTACAGGGTGCGATGGATAAATTGTCGTCTAAATTATACAAAAATGAAAATAACTCTGATATCTCATTTTAACAGATATAGTTACAAAAAATATCATGAAATACTAAAGAGTAAATTATTCAGTAAAATCACCGTTGGCTACAATTACAGCCCCCAGATGTTTTTGGAATCTCCTGCAACTCTTCTGAACAGTCTCCTTATTTAAGTTGGTGAATGCTGCCATAATCCCTGCTTTAAGTTCATCTTCAGTGTTACAAGGAGTTTTCTTGCTTTCTCACTCAACTGTACCCCACACATAATTATCAAGGGGTTTGGAAAGTTAGATGGCCAGATGTAAGAGGTGATATCGTCACAGAAATTATCTGACAGACATGACCGAGTTCTCCTGCTTGTGTGGCATGGTGTAGAGTCCTGTTGTCAGACATAGGGTTTTCCAGCAGCCACCCTCTGGACCTAGGGCAGCACTACCTCCTCAAGGCACTTGATGTAGTCTTCTATGTTAAGTCTTTGGCCTACACCAACAAATTCAGGTGTTCTTTTCTCAGCAGAACAGTCAGAATGAATTTTCTGAGCTGCTGTACCTTTGTAATCAACATTAGACTCTTCTAACGCCTTCCAAAGCCTTTGCACTGTCCTCAGATTAAAACCCAAACACTCTGAGATGTTCATATTGGAGCTTCTAGTATGAATGACAAACAGTACAGTATGCCGTTGTCAAGTTTCTGGCAGAGTAAATTGCGTCATGGTGTTCTTTTTTCACAGACGGTGCCCAACTAACCCTACTATACTGTGTAGTTGACAATTTACCCATAGCATCCTGTATTGTGTGTTTTACACTAGGACTACATGTGGTTTTGAATTCAGTGTTGTATTTCTCCTAGACTTGTTGCCTACCATGGCTAGAGTCCAATCTGCCTTCTATTTAACCAATTGATGAACTTGGTTTGCTGATTTCTCATTCTAGCTATAGTAGGCAACAAGTCTATACTGTGATATTAAGCTTGCCACGGGGTTCCCACAGATGCAGAGACAGGAACGGCCAGAAGCCGCCGGTTACCAATGCAGACGCTCCTTGGATTTTCACCAGAGCCCTTGTTAGCCGGCGTGTGTGTCAGACCTGTCCGCCTTGGGTGGCCCTACCAGGAACGAAGTTCCGGGTGGCATAGCTCTGACACTACCGTTTTACACCCCCCACCGACTGTGAGGTAAGGGTTGGACTTTGGGGGCTTACAGTACCAGGTGTTCCCAAGCGGTCCCCCATCTAAGTACTGACCTGGCCATCTAACTTTGGTGATCGTACGAGAACCGGTGTTTCAGCGTGATTTGACCGTAAGCCGAATGTTATCCGAGTAGGCCTGGGTACCCTACTTCTGTAATTTATCCCAAGAATCTTCTTCTCATAACAGGAAGAAGCCGGCTCAATCCACCCAGGGTGAATGCCGCATCAGTACAGTACAGTACAGTAGTGATATTAAGGAAAGTAAAGTCCTTAAAATAATCTACAGAATAAGATTATTAAGGCTAAAATAAGTCAAGAAAAAAGATTTTTATTCAGGCAGGAACATTTAACAGTATAGAAAATGAAATTAGTCAAGTTTGAATTCTAGCTAAGGCAGTTTGTGCTCACTTCATCTTCACACCCTTGGAAAGGGCATAAATTCATGTCTTCTTTCTGCATCCTCAACTATGGGTAAAATAGCAAGGTAGACTTGTTTAAGAGAACAACAACTCTAAATTCAAAACCAGGAATGTAATTCACATTCCCCAGCTTTCTATGGATTGCAGTTCCAAAAGTAGAAAGCTAACATGTGGGGTGCAGAAAAGTTATTGGCTTGACTCAAAAACATTTTTAAAAAATAATGAAATAAAATTATGATATTTGATGGTTTGGGCAGATTTGGGGAAGTGGGTTTCAACACTCCCTAATATTTTTCAGCAAAAATGTTTATTAACCCATGCATGACAAATTGGCCATGTCCTACTTTTTTTCACACTCTCTGCATCTGATTAATGATATATGAATTTTAATCATAAATAAATTTTGTGTTAACAGCTTTTTCCTTTTCCTTTTTCTTTATATTATTTTTAATATTCTTTCTTGATGGGAAGGATAGAATATTTTATTCTTTTCTGAAATGACATAATTGCTAATTGTGGTTATTTACTTCTGTTTTTTTTTGTTTTTTTTGGTATAACTTTCAGTAAATTCACTATTTGGGTTCTCCTCCTTAAGTATCTTTTAAAATAATCTTGTTTATTTAAGGTTTGAAGATGGTTACAACACTATGATTTATTATCATAGAATATGGAGAGAAGCTGTGATTGTTGTTAGCATTATGAATCTAGATTTTGATCAATATTGAAGCAAATGTTGCATATGTTAATGACTCTTTTCAGTAATATAGACATTGAAGCTTCAGTAAATGGAATATATTTAAAGTCTATAAAGGAAAGTGACCTTGCAACGTAATGTAGGAGGTGACTTTAAATGGATCACTAAAATAACTAGGCTTAGATAGTGTTCAGAATGTGAATTCACTAGTAATAGTATGACAGTTTGAGTATGTCTTAAAATGCATATTGAATGTGAATCATGCCTGTCAGAGTGATTAAATTTACAAATTGAAAATTTTTCTGGGGTCGGGAGTAGCTAGACAATACCTAATTCAGACACTCACTCAGGCACATTTGTGTTTGTTCAACACCCACAGAGCTCACCTGTGGTTTATACTGCAACTATGCTGAGCAGACCCTTAGTTACAGTTATCTAGCATGATTATCAGTCTGAACAAGGTCAGCACACTCAAACCCTCGGCCATGATGACTTGTGGCTTTGTGCTAGCACAGCTATCGATGGTTCCGCAAGTGTTCTGTCTACCCAATTTCACTCACAAGGCTTGGGTCAACCCATGGCACAGTTTTCAGGCACTTTCCAAAGGTGCCGCATGCTGGGATCAACCCCTCCAGACCGATAATAAATCAACCTTGGTGAGATTTGAACCTGGGTCTCATGGTCAGGAAGTGAACATTTTAATCATTTGGGCCATGTGCCTATCATATATATATATATATATATATAGTTTTTTCCTTATAGGTAACATGACTCAGAGTTTCATGCACAATGCAATCTTCAGGTGCTGAGTAGAATATTTTATTAACACCAGCACTCAATGTGCATTATCTTGTATTTATATTTTTTGTTAAAATAAGAAAAGAATAGCAAAAAAAAGAAGGTAACAAAAATGTAACATTACTGTAAAGTGGTAATATCGAAATACAACACAATGTTTTGTTAATTGTGTTGTATTTTGATATTACCACTTTATCTTTTTTGTTATTCTTGTTTTAACATTTCCATTCTTATGGCGTTTATATAAGTGTGTCATATGTAATATAAAATGCTATAATTGAGTTTGTATAGAAATTCTGTTCAGTATCAGATCTTATACTGATCAATGTAGAAGATGAAAATTCAGCCAAATTGATCCCCCCCCCTTGAAATAGATCTGAATTTCTAACTTTGTTTTGGAAGATCCTTTGAGACATTGATCCTAAACTCATGAAATGAGTCTGATGGAAATGATAGGAGCATTATGAAGAAGAAATGCTTGAATGGTGATGCTTAGCTACACAATGGAAAAGTTTGCTCTTTGTGGGAGGGTTTACATCCATCCATCAAGAGAAAGAAAGAAAGAAAGTGATGGGTTTGTCAATAGTCAAGGTTGCTGTGAATGATGCCTGGATAAATGCTTGGTGGGTTTATCATTGAATATTTTTTCTCCTGCACATTCATAGAAAGATTTGTAGGAGGAATTACAGATGGTGGAGTAATGGATAGCAACTTGGATTGAGGAATCAGAGAGCCGAGTTCAAATTCCAGTCAAATCCATTACATTCACTTACATGCTAATACCCTTGGGAAAGGCATTGGTGAGATGGAAAAGTACTAGGAAGAGGAAAAAAGTCAAACAGTTATGTCCTGACCCCAAAAAAGAAGAGGTATTGAGCAAAATTTAATGGGAAAAATTAGCTCGGGGGAGGTGTTGTAATGGAATGTCCCACTCTCCCTATTGCCTCTTGTGGACTGACTATATTGGTAGATATATATATAGTGAGCACATGATATACCTGGCAGACTTGCTTCGGGAGTTACTAGCTTGCTACCTGATTCCCTACCTTTCAGTAGTGTATTCTTTTTTACAATAAACCTCTCTTTCTTTCATCTATGCGTGTGTTGCTGTTCCTTTCACTCGAGTACCACCTTTGTCTGTTTGTAACCTTCTTTAAGGATACAACAGGTATGAATCCTCTTCTTCTCCCCCTAGCTATGGGTAAATAGCAGGACAGACCGGGTTGCCTTGGATGGTAACTGGTTTACTGCAGATAGAAATAGCAACCTACTGTGGGAAAAATCTGCCTCATCAGTTATGTATCGAAAGATACATGATCATCTAAGTGTGTATCATGCATGTCACATAACTGACTGTAAAGAAATTTAAAGAACATGCTTGATATATTTGGAAAAAAATTTGAGATTAGATTGAATTCAGTATATTCATGTAAGAATACAGCCAAAAGTGTTTTCAGGAAAAAAAATTAATGTGGCTTAACACTTTTCAAGCACTTATTCCAAAACCAAATAAATACATGTTGTTTTATAAAACAAAATTAATTCTTCAGTGGTAGTTTAAGCTGTTATAGCAATAGTAGAAGTTTCCAGCCAATATTTTAATATGTAAGATTAAGGGCATCAAGCGTTGCAATTAGTTTCTAGATGACCTGGAACTGTATACAACATTGATGTTTAACTCTTTAACCCTTAGGAGATGACAGGGCTGATCTATAAGCTGAAAAGTTGAATGATGGAAGAGACTACTGGGCTGATCTGTCAGCCTGATAATACAAGCTTCGAGATTAACTGGCTGGTCTTCATACCAGCCAATCGGATTGCTTCTCACATTTCTTGTATATCTGAGCCTTTCAATGGCAGTTTCTATGGTAGTTTGCTGTGTTCTGTGATTTTACATTAATTTTTTTTCTGCTCCAAATGAGGGCATGTGAAAATGGCTCTGTCTTGGCTCTGAAACTCTAAATGAGGTTCAGTCTCCAAAGAGTTAAAGTATTTCACATATTTGACCATTTTTTTCACTTTTTACAGTATATATTTTCAGTATTTATATAGAGCTCTGATTCTGTTTTTGTAGTATATTCACTGACCAATGTAACAATGGGGATGTTGAATAAAGTAGAATAATTTAAGGTTAAAGATTAAGAAGAAAAATTGTAACAGTCAGCCACAGGTTGTTAGAAATATATTGTATTTCTGAAATATGATAAAATTGACAAGGTCAGTTGATGGTTACAAGTCCTGTTAGAAGAAAGAGGAAAAAAGCTGGATGTGGTGAGGTCTTTTCATTGGTCTGTGAATTGACTAATCAGTAACTAGCAAGAAAGTTAGATTTCCTGGTTAAAAAAGTTTTAGTTTGGTAGTGTGCAGATGGGGGCAGGATGTTCTCTCATTCCCTGAACTCTCTCCATTGCTGACAAGTAGTTGGCAACATTTCCTTGCTTCAGAGAATAAAATTGGCTGATATAGAACCTGTTACATTGTGCTATTTATTATTACAAGTTAATGTTTTGCCTGGGGAAAAAGATGGCTTTTGAATTTCAGTGATAAATTGAGTCAGTACAACTCTGGAGTATTGGCCTGAAGACAGCTGATGTGACCCACTACAAAGCAATGACCATAGCTTGCCAAACCCCAGTATGAGCTATATAAGATGTTGTGACAATGCAACACCAATAGAAAAATCAAATTCTTTTTCAAAACTAAAACTGGGTTTATTTGTCAAGAGCAATTAGCACCACCTGCACTGGCAAAAATTTTGTACTCCATAATTTACTTGAATACATTTTTGAAACAAACAAGGTTTCTTTATTCAGCTTCTTTTACATGCCGTGTCCCTTCAGGATGTAGGCAGTAATAGTAATCCACCTCCTCCTGTCCTTTGTAGCTCTTAAGTTTTGTTTTTTTGTTATTTCTCTCAGACCCTGTTCTGCCATCAACTTGCTCAAGACCATCAAGTATGTCAAGTGTTGCTTTCCCCTGTCCTTTTTTCCCTCTATCCATCTTGTGGATATCAGATTTTCCAAGCCTTCCTTTCTCATTACATGTACCAGAAATTTCAGCTACCTCTTCCTGATGTTTCCATTCTCTCCAAAACCTTGTTATTGCTCAAATGTTCAACTCATGGTATCCTTAGGATCCTTCTGTAGAACCACACTTCTGTTGCTTCGATTCTCTTCTTTGTCTTTAAAGAGATTGTGCAGCAT